CTCCCTCTGATCCACGCCCTGCTCCTGCTCCTGATCCTGCCGCCGCTGCTGCTGCTGCTGCTGCTGCTGCTGCTGCTGCTGCTGCTGCTGCTGCTGCTACTGCTCATTGCTTCCTTTATGCCCTTCCTGGTCCCCTGCTGCATCCCTCCGTGCTGCGCTACAAGAAATGCGCCTGCTTCCTTCGCCTGCTGCATGGCGCTGGAATCGGCCTTGGCCTCCTCCAGGCTGGCGCGCCTGGCAACTCCAGTAACTGTAGCAACACGAACGGGCGCAATGAACACAATCGTTGCATCAAACCTAATATATGAACTGGGGAAGGTGAATAAGAAGGAAGAACAACGACGTGGCGGAGCAGGCGCATCCCGATGATGAGGGCGTAACGTTCAGCGAATACAATCAGAGTGTCGGGTCCCCCCTCCCTGCCGCGGAAGGCCGATCTGCAACGAGCAGGATCGCTCCGACAAATGCCGAGATCCGCATCATTCAATTTCCGACTCGCGCATCTGCAGATCGAGGCCACCAGACGGCCATCCTTCGCCCCCGAAGATATCATCCATGTGCCCTGCCTTGAGGCGCCGGCCGCGCCCATCCAGCCATGCCGAAACTCCAAACAGCAGGCCCGAGAAAACATATGCTGATGACGGCGGGCGCAGGCCGCTGGACCCGCTCCCGCGGGCGAGACGGCAGCGAGGAAACCGATGGAGAAGAAACCATGCAGGGATCCGAGTCGGCGCGGTGGTGCGAAACAGTCCTCGGCGCGTCGAAGGGTGCCCCCCCCCCCCCCCTCTACATGCCAAGCGCCCAGCAAAGGGGACCCTCCCCTTCACACGGGAGCCTCCCGCCCGGCAACCCTCCGCCCCCTGGCGCCAGGGGGGGGTCAAACCCCGCTGGCGGGGTCATCCTCGTCGTTCGTCGGCGCCAGTGGGGAGCGGGGCGGGGTTATCGTCGTCAAAGTCGTTGTCTTTGCTTGCCGGCGCCAGGTGGGTTAGAGTCGTCGTCGTTTGCTGGCGCCAGGGGTGCCCACCCTTGCGCCGGCAAAAGATGACGACCACGGCCAAAGGGGGGGGGGAGGCCAGCTCGAATCCCCCCTGGCACCAGTAACCCCGCCCCCCCCCCCCTTGCGCGAGGGGGAAAGAGGATGTTCGACCCCCAACCTCTTTTTCTGGGAGGGGTCCCCGTTTCCGACCGCCCAGGATGTTTTTTTTTCTTGGAGGGGTGGGGGCGGCCTGACCGCCCCCCTCTAGCGACCACAGCACACGCTCTTGCATACACACACACATGGTGAATAGACACATGGGTGCTTGTGCACACCTATACCGGGAGAGAGGGAGAGAGAAAGAGAGAGAGAGAGAGAGAGAGAAAGAGAGAGAGAGAGAGAGAAGAGAGAGAGGATGATTTTTTCCGCGCTCAGCATCAGTGCGGGCGGCGCCGCGGGTCAGAGAGGATGAGGGAGAGAGAAGGGATCGGGCTTTGGGAACCACTGCGCCGAAAAAGAAACGCATGGAAATGTTATCCCACATGCACCTGGCCTGATGTGTTTTTCCGCGACCCTCGGCAAGTCCGGTGCCGTGGAATCGCGTCATGCGTTGAGCAAGCGGCGGCCAGTTATAGAATCCCGCACATCCGAAAGGGAAGGCAGTCTTGAGACAACCGAGCAGACCTGTTGCAACATGCAGGCGTGACCGCAGCACCCCAAAGGGAGGGCCCTGCGCAGCAAAACGGTGGATGAGAGAGGGAGGGAACAAATCAGTGGAACGCCAAATATCGCATGCCTTCGGAAACACGCCCTAAGAGCTCAGTTTGGCGGTGGCGCTGGCACGACGGGTTCTCTGTGGGAAGACAGTAGCAGTATTGTGTTGAAGCGTGATGCTCCTGGGCCAAAAGAATGGAAAAGCCCCTGGTGAAGGTGCCCTCCGCGTCAGCATCCCCATCCACCTCGCCCTCCCGATCACTAACCCCCTCCCAAGTCGAAGAGACCGAAGGGAGGACACATCCGCCACCATGCCTTCGGCACCTTGGAGCGCATTGGAGCTTCTGGGGGATGGAGGAGGAGGGGGAATGGATGATGATGATGATGATGAGGATGAGGAGGAGGAGGAGGAGGAGGAGGAGGAGGAGTAGGAGGAGGAGGAGAGGTGCCAACCCCCTGCGGCGCGCGCGCGCGCCCGAACACGTCCCACCCCAGCTTTGGCTCCGGGCGCCCTCTTCGGCCTCGAGATGGGGCCGAGGACGGCCCAGCGGTGCCTCAAAAGCGGCTGCAAGCAGGCAAGCGCGTTCCACTATTCGCAAAAGCAACTGCTCGCAAATGGCCTGGATCCGCCGCGGGGAATTTACGAACCACAACATCGAGGCAAACATGTGTTTTTCCAACGTTTGCGAGGAGGCACGTTGCAAGTAGTGGAATGCGCTCGGTGAGCGCATCAAGAGGATGCCAAGACAGCCGAACACCAAGCGACCTGCCAGAGGCCTCAGGGCACCCACTGGATGCCCAAAGGGGCCCCAAGGAGCGCCCAAGAGGCGGCCCGGCGCAGAACACCTTCTGTGGCTCCGCAGCCCTCCCCTGTGGCAAGGCCGCCTAACTTCGCGCTTCGCGCTGCGCGAAGCGCGAATGACTTTGCGCTCTCGCGCCGCCCCCCAGGAGAGAGGAGGAGGATGAGGAGGAATCGGAGCCGAACCGCGGAGCTCGCTGCCTCTCCGCTTCGGCGCGCGGCGCCCCTCATCCGTCCCCCACCCCTCCCCCTCCCGCCGCTGCTGTCGCGCTGCCTGCTGCACGCCGCCACGACTGCCGCTGCTGCCCTGCCCCCTGCCGCTGCCGCTGCCACTGCCGCCGCTGCCGGAGGCGGCTGCTGCTGCTGCGGCGGGCACGCGGTACCCCTCACAGGGGGTCGTGCCCCCGCAGGGAGCATGCGGCACTCCCGCCCAGACCAGCACACCTCTCACACGGACCTCTGACTACCTGCCAGACCACCCCAACCCAACCCGAAGACCCGAATTTCGGTTTGGGGGGGTAAGGGTTCCACACGTGTTTTTTCGACGTTTCCCGACCCCCCCCACTGGAAATCGAGGGTAAATCTGAGCCTTCGGGTTGGGTTGGGGTGGTTTGGTGGGTGGCGAGGACCGTGCCCCCCACAGGCAAGAGAGCTGCACCGGCAGCTCCGGGAGGGCGCCTTCCCGTAGCGCCCCGCTTCAGCAACCCCCCCGGGGGCTCCACGAGCGGCGAGCACATCGCCATCCGCGCCCTCACGGGCCGCACTCCCGGGCGCGACCCCGCGGATGCGCGGTCGCACGGATACGTTCCGCGCGGCGCATCCGCGAGGAAGCGCTCCGTATCTGCGGGATCGCGGCCCAGGGGCCTGGCCCGCGAGGCCGCGGACACTGCTGTGCTTCTCGCCCATGGGGGCTCGTGCCCCTCTGGCAGCCCCGCGGACCGCCCCGAGAAGCGCTCCCCAAGACCGCCCTCTGCTCCGTCCAGCACGCCCCGCCCGGAGGATTGCGCCGCACAGGAAGCTCCGGCTCCCTCCTCCTCCTCCTCCTCCTCCTCCTCCTCCTCCTCCTCCTCCCCTCCTCCTCTCCTCCTCCTCCTCCTCCCTCCTCCTCCTCCTCCTCCCTCCTCCTCCTCCTCCTCTCCTCCTCCTCCTCCTCCACTCCTCCGCCTCCTCCTCCTCCCTCCTCCTCCTCCTCCTCCTCCTCCTCCCTCCTCCCTCCTCCTCCTCCTCCTCCTCCTCCCCTTTCTCTGGCCCCGGGGCGCACAGGTCACGATGAGCGGGCCGCCCCCGGCACATGGCTGGTTCTGGCAACCCTGAGCCAAAGCATGTTGCCACCTCGCGGGGGCGCATGTCTTACCTCCGCTGGCTTCCGCCTGCCTTCCGCCGGCTTCCACCGGCGGAGGCGGCCTCGTTTCGCCCTCCGCCGCCCTCCGCCGCCCTTCCGCCGAGGAAGCGGTGCCGACTCAGTCGACCCTCGAAGGCGAGGCCCTCTCTGGAGCGCCCCACATGGTTCGGTCCTCGGTCAGGTTTTTCTTCAGTCACGTTTCGCTTGCCCCAGCTCTGCGTCTTGAGAAGGCCTCCTCGAGACAGCCCCAGAGGGCCCCACAAAGCCACCAATGCCATCCAAGATGACCCCAAGAGAGGCCAAAACCTCCCAGGAAGGACGGACCAGGACCGTCCAGTAGGCCTCCAAGTCGGCCCCAAGACCCGACCAGCCAGCCCCAAGATGGCTCTACCAAGCCTGCATGGGACAGCCGTGTAGAACCATCGCGCCGAAGATAGCCCGCTACTCCCAACAGGGCCCCCAGCGGCTCCGCAGAGGCTCCAAGAGGTCCCGTACAGATGCCCAAGACGCCCCCGCGAGGCAAACAGTCCCCCAAGAAGCCTGGCAGAGGCTGACAGAAGGCAACGCAGCAGCCATGCAGCTTCATGGCAGCGCCACGCTGCAAAACCGTCAGTGTTGACTCCCGCGCGACCCCAATACGATTCCACCAGGCCTGCTCAAGAGAGCCCGAGCCATCCCGCGCACAGTTCGGCTGCGCGCTGGCACGGCGGCGGGATTTGCCGCAGGCAGCCTGGGCATGCTATGAGCTGAGGCGGGAGCGCCTGCCCGAGCAGATTCCACGATCTCGCAGCGCCGTCTAGCGCGCTGTGGACCTACGAACGGTTAGCTCGAGGGCGAGGAGGAGGAAAGAAGCGCAGGAGGAGGATGAGGAGGAGGAGGAGGAGGAGGAGGAGGAGGAGGAGGGAGGAGAAGGAGGACGAGGAGGAGGAGGGAGGAGAAGGAGGAGGGAGGAGGACGAGGAGGAGGAGGAGGGAGGAGGAGGAGGAGGAGGAGAGGAGGAGGAGGAGGAGGAGGAGGAGGAGGAGGAGGAGAGAGGGAGGAGGAGGGAGGAGGGAGGAGGAGGACGAGGAGGAGGGAGGAGGCGGAGCACGAGGAGGAAGGGAGGAAGGAGGAGGAAGGTCATGGAGAGAGGAGGAGGAGGAGGGCAGGGAGGAGGAGGGAGGAAGGGCATAGAGAGGAGGAGGAGGAGACGGGCGCCGAGCGGCGGCCCCGGCTCGCCCAGGCCTGCGCCCGCGGCGGGCACGGGGCAGCGGCAGCCGTGCTGGCGGCGACCCCTCGCCAGTCAGGGCAGGGAGGGCAGGCCGACCCCGAGCAGAGTCCACGAGGTCCGCGACGACGGCGACGACGACGACGACGACGGCGACGACGACGACGACGACGAGCGACGACCTCGAGGCCCGCGACGACGACGACGACGACGACGACGACGACGACGACGACCTCGAGGCCCGCGACGACGACGACGACGACGACGACGACGACGACGACGACGACGACGACGACGACGACGACGACGACCTCGAGGCCCGCGACGACGACGACGACGACGACGACGACGACGACGACGACGACGACGACGACGACGACAACGACGACGACGACGACGACGACGACGACGACGACGACGACGACGACGACCGACGACCTCGAGGCCCGCGACGACGACGACGATGACGACCTCGAGGCCCGCGACGACGACGACGACGACGACAACCTCGAGGCCCGCGACGACTGGCGCTGGCGTGCTCCAGGAAGAGGGCGAGGACGAGGAGGGCGGACCTGGCAACACCCGGGCTGGGCCGGCGAGCCTCCCCGCGGAGTCGCCACTCAGTAGACGGTGGAGCGCTGCTGCCGCGTGGCGCGCGCCCACGTGGAGCGCTGCTGCCGCCACCTTTCGAGGGGGGGATCGATGACAGAATCGACTTACCCCACCATGAATTTCCCGTCGAATCTACGAAGCATAGCTACTATGCTCCGTAGTTTCACGGACTATTCTGCGCACTGGTCTCATGGGCCCGACGAAAAAAAACAACATTTCTGGGCCCGTACCAAGGCCTCGCCCCCCCGCTACCGTTCCCCCAACGTGGGCTGCCCCCCTTCCTCGGATCTCCTGTTTTTTTCATTCCCACGCCCATGAGGTTGCCAATGAACCTGCATCTGGCCGACCACCCTTCTAAGGATGAGCGTCGGAACGTCTGCGGTTGTTGGCGTGATTTTGATCACCGTGCGAAATAAACATCTATACGTCATCCGTTGCCTCATTACCGAAGTAGCGAGTTAGAGAGTGATTGACCCAACGTGCCCTTGGATCAATCACTGTGTCTGTTTTGCGTCTGGCGATAGCCCTTCGCGATTTTGGAAAGATCTCGAGGACGTAACCAACCCGTCTGCCGTGCGACGGGTACATGGGGAACATCTTGCTCATTACGCTCTCGCATGGGCCTACATAAAGCGATACCGAAAGAGAGGAAAGGAAGGTGAGATGCAGAACGACGACGAGGAGATGGAGACGAGGAAACAGGACGTTCACGGATGATGATGATGATGATGATGATGATGATGATGATGATGAGGAGGAGGAGGAGGAGGAGGAGAAGGAGGAGGAGGAGGAGGAGGAGGAGGCAGTTGGCACTAACCATGCAGGGGCGCAAGGTCTCGTTGGAGCCTGGGTAAGACCGCATTCCGCTGTACCCCCCGGCGAGCTCAAAAAACGCCGCGACAGGTGCACACTTGGCACCACCCATGGAGGCGGCGTCTAGGTTAGGGCCTGGGTAAGGCGCCGTCCAGCCGACCCCCAGGGAGCTCACAAAGCGGTCGTCAGTTGCGCAGATGACACCTCCAAGGCGGGCAAGGTTCCGTTTGGCCATGCTCAGGTCGGGCCTGTCCCCATACAGAAGGATTTTGGACGAAGAATTAAACATGCCCCCAAAATATGCAAAAAAGACCCAAACATGGTCAAACAATCGTCCCCAGACTATTGTTTGACTATTTTTGAATTTTCCCCCTGTAGAGGGACAGGCCCAACTTACGGTTATGGGTCAGACGTCGCTCCGCTGCACCCACCCACCCCTCGCCTGAGCAATTCACAACAAGAAGCGTGCCGGCTGTGCAGGTGGCACCACCCAGGGAGGCGTGGTCCTGGATGGGTTCTGAATAACACGTCGTTTGGCTGGTTGTCAAGAACTCACGATCCCAAACCGGCGGCAACACCCGGGGAGCCGAGGCCAACTCTAGAGGCACGGTTGGGCTGCTGCAGTAAGGAACGATTGAGAAAGAACAGGGCTCCTTTCGGGCTCCGAAATCCCGCGTGCACGAGGAGGGCCAGAGGAACAGCCATGGAAGGGCCCAAGGAACACCGAGCCCCTTCCGAACCAAGATTTGTTCCTTACTGCAGCGTCTTGGCTGTATGGGTAAAACGCCACCGCGCTGCCCCTCCCACCTACAGCAACTAACAACTCCAGGGAACCGAGGTCTAGCTCGGGTATAATGCTCCGCCAGACCCCCAACAAGCTGACGAACGTGGCGACAGAAAAGCCGTTGGCAACAACTGGAAGAACCCAAGGTGTCGGGATAGAACGCATGCAGGAGATAGGAAGCGGGAGGTGGCAGGAGGATGATGAAAGAGGCGGGAGGAGGAAGGAACACCAGAGCCCCCATCCATTATATACTGTTACCCAACGAACCTATGAACTTGGCGCGACCCCAATTCGGGAAAAGCGTCCTCTTGCGTCGGCGCATTGCTTGGCATTGTTTGGCGGTGTTTGGCATTCCGTTGTCTTACTTGGCGTTGGTTGGCCTTGTCTGGCGCTGCTTAGCATTGCTTGGCGCGACGTGGCGTTGCTTCGCGATGCTTAGCATTGTTGGGCGTTGCCAAGAGTCGCCACGGCAAAGCAACAGGACAACGAAACCCCGAAGAACGAAAACCGACCCAGACGAACGCCTGCGAAGAAACAAACACGCGGAACCCCGAGGAAGGCCAAGCAACTCCGAGGAAGGCCCCGTCGAGAAACAAGACAAAGAACGCCAAGCAACTCCGAGGAAGGCCCTGTCGAGAAACACGACGAAGAGGCCACAATGAACGCCAAGACAACCCGAGGAACGCCACTTTAAACATAACAAGGCCAAGCCAAGGAACCCAAACCAACGCCGGTCGGCGCAGGCCTCGCACCCACCAGCTATCCAACACCATCAATAAACAAACAAACAAACAAACAAACAAACAAACAAACAAACAAACAAAACCCGAGGCACCGACTGGAGAACGCTCATTGCGGGAAACGCTCCCCTCCCCCCCCTCCCCTCCTTCCATTTCCTCCCCCCTGCTCCTCCCCCTTCCCCTCCTCCTCCCTCCCATCCCCCCCCCCTGCTCCTCCTCCTCCTCCTCCTCCTCCTCCTCCTCCTCCTCCTCCTCCTCCTCCAATCCTCGAGCCGAGAAGGCTTGCGCCGAACTTCCGCCGAATTTCTGCCGTAGAAAAAGAAAAAAACGCTAAACCATAAACTGTTGGCGTTCCGCGCGGATTTCTCGGATCTGCGCTGGACCCCTCCTCCCTGGCGCGCGGAGCGCGCCAGGGGTGGCGCCAGCCAAGAAATCCACGCGGAGCGCCAACAATTTATGTTGATGGCGGTTTTTCCATTTCGATGCCGGCGGGCCCGCCGCTGTCTTGAGTCTGCCGCCTTCCGCCGCTTCCGCCACACTGCCGCTGGTTTCGGCCGAGGGGCACGCGCGCCGAAGACGAAGCGCTTTCTGGAAGGCCCTGCCTCGGCTGCACTTAAGGGTGACCCTGGGCAAGAGTGACCCTTGGTGCGCGGGTTGGGGGGGCGCCAGGGGGCCAAACCCAAGCTCGCAGGCCGCTGCTACTGCACCGCATTCGGCGATCGGGAGGCCCCGGTGGGCCCGCACCCCAGGAAGCTCCAGCGAGGGGTCGCTCTTACGTGCAGTCGACTGCTTCATGGTTGCGGACAGGAGGGTGAGGATCCCGGGTCCTGGGGACGATTCAAGGACGCCCATCTGGCCGTGCCAGAGCCGCTGCGATCCCACATGAGCACGAGGCTATACCTCAGACGAGGTCGAACAGCTATTGGAAACGTTTGAGGCTACCATCGGCTTCAGGGTAGTACCGATGAAGGAGGTCGGAGGGACCACTCTGAACATGTCAGCAGGCACGCAAAAGTAGGGCTCAGTGGAGACAGCGCGCACAATCAAATTTCCCAATAGCATTGCACAACTTTTGGTCGCGATTCATGCTGTCTTTCTGCTTGTCCGTCAGGCTGCCTTGGTGGCCGATAGGTGAAGCAGCGGAAACGAAGAGCTCGTCTTACAACACGTGCTTGAACATCGTGGCCTCTTGCAGAGCCTGCGGACCTTCCCGTGACCAAAAAGACGGCCCACCGACGCAGAACCATCAAAACAAGCATTCGTCATTCACGAATATTCACGCGCTCGCGAGCATGAAAACAACTACTTGAAATGGATACCATTATCCCTTGCAAAATTTGGGAACATCCTCCGCACGGACGGGGGATGCCACGACAAGGAGCTGTCCACACGCGGCAGCGGCGCAGGCGCTGGAGCCGCCCTCGGGAAGGGTATGAGTTGAGAAGCTACACGCCCTGTTGTTCCAGACCAGGGGCTGGTCCGATGGGGGAGCGCCTCGTGGGACGAGGGGAACACGAGACGCGGCTGCGGCAGGAAGAGCCATCCTGAGCGGAAGCACGCTGGTGGCGGTCCTGGCCTGCTTGATGAACCGATGCCGCTGGTGCAGCCCAGTCGGAGGCTGCAAGCTGAAGCACGCTGGTGGCGGTCCCGACCTGCTTGATGAACTTGAGTCGGCAGCGAGCGGGAAGTGAGAAGGAGAAGTCGTTCTCAGAAAGCCCTCGAGCCTCCTGAGAAGTCTTCTGTGGCGTTTCTGGGACGTCTCCTTCCCTGAAGGCCAAGGGAGGCCTGAGCCCTCGCTCGCCGCCGACAAAAACTGCCGTTTCAGCGCAGTCGGAGACTGCTCGAGCGTCCCTGTGGCGGTGGATGGCCGAGGGACCAGGACGGACGCTCGCATGCCGTCGCTCGGACGTCCACTCCCCGTGCGTTTTGCGGCTTCACGCGTGTGTTTTCTTGCTCGATGATCCAGGATGCTCCTCGAGGGTCCTCGCCGAAAAAAGGCGCACAGGTATGAGCGATGCCAGGAGCCCAGGGTGGCCCAAGATGATCCAAAACAGCCCTCCAGAGGCTCCCAGGAGGGCCCACCAAGTTGCGACATCGGCCAGCAGAATGCTCGAAGCGACTGAGTCATAGCAGTGCAATGCTACCGAGGGATGCGGAGAATAAAGCGGGAGAATCTTGCTGGGTGGTCTGCGTCACATGACCTTGCGCGACTCGTGTGCGCCCTTAAGCGGCTAAGCGCGCAGGGGGCACGGCGACAGGGCCCGCCATTTCTGGTTCCAGGGCAAGCGACGACAGCCTTCTGCCGCTGCCGCTGCTGCGGACGAAGCAGCAACCCCCTACAATCACAGTGACGGGGTCACCGGCATCACGATGATGGCTCTGCATCCTGGGTGCGCAATCAACAGGCCTGGTTCCGCTGACCCTGCACCCGGCGCTGCGCGGCGCTGCCTCAGCAGCGCACCACCCGGGCCAGGCTTTGGCCGCACCAGCTTCGAGCAAGGTGGAGCTACACCTCCAAGCCGACGTCCGGAAGCAGAGGAGGATACAGTCGGCTTGCACAGCCTGAAGGATGGCTGGTCCCTGCAGGACAGGTTGGGAGGCCAACCGACCCACGGCCAGGATTGCACCACGCGGCAGTTAGCCAGAGGGATGATGATGATGATGATGAGGAGGAGGAGGAGGAGGAGGAGGAGGAGGAGAAGGATGAGGAGGAAGAGGAGGAGGAGGAGAAGCCCTCCCTCCCCTATTTCCCCACGCCCACGAAGGCTGCACTCTTGCTGGAGTCCAGGATATGTCCGCGAGGCTGATGGTGCCCTGGCCAATCCCGTCCACAAAACGAGCGTGCCTCACGAGGAAGACGCAGAAAAGAGTCTACCGCGGGTCCAGCTGGCTCACGTCGCGCTGACTTCGGCGCTGACTTCTGACACTGCGCAGGTCGTGCAACCCTACGCGATCGCGGCTTTCCGACAGCGCAAGTCTCGGAGGCGTCCACGAGAGGGCCGTCCCAGAGGGGAGGTCGCAAATCAGAGCCCGAGGCATGTGCGCGGCCCAGGGGGGTCCAGGGGGGGTCCATGGCAAATGGGGAGATACCACGGCTCCCGCCATGACGTCCCTCCCCTAGCCATCATTGAGCAGGAACCGACCGTCCAAGCATTCCTATCGGCATACCGCGACATGTTCGTAGAACCCCCCCAAAGTTCGAATCACAAAAACAAGGTTCTTAGAGCAGAAGCCCGATGTGCTAAAAGAAGCCAGTCTCGGCCAGAAATGTTCTAAGCGCATTCTGTGCAGACCCCCAAAAAGGTTATTGGAATATACTTTTGTGGGCCTATAGGCGAGCCTGGACGCTTCACCGCTGCCCGCCATCACCCCCCTCTTGGCCGCCCCCCGAAGGTCGGTCGATGTCGGCCGCTTCAGGTCCAATGGCGGCGCTCATCCTCACGTGCCCGAGCTGGGGCCACCCTCCGCGCCCAGGCGTCGCGACCCTACTGCAAATAAGAAGTTGTTTATGGGGTTGGTGGTGGCTTTCAGTACCCCGGCTGGGTTGTCAAGGAGGGGGAGGAGGGATGTTGATGGGAAGGAAGGCCAGGGATCAGGCATATATGGGTCTTTCCCTTCTGCAATCCGCCCAAGCCTCTTCAGCATCGCGGGGTACCGGTTCATCACCCTGACATACTCTTCCTTGTTCAGCACCGCTAGCTCAGAAACTCCCTGCGCGATGAAGTTCGCGGTGCGGACGTGCTGTCGGTTCACCAGGCAGGACTCACCGAACCAGGCGCCCCTACTCATGATCCTCCTCTTGCCGGTGAGGCCGTTAGTGGTCGTCGGTGCTGCGGCAACCCCGATGAACTGCGTCATGAGCCGTCCCGTCCCGTCTCCGACCTGGGCCAGAGGTCGAGCCGCCTGCTTCTCCGCCTGCTCACCCTCCCTATTCGCATGATCATCCCTGTCAGGCCTCTCCTCCCCTTCGCCTGCCCCTCTTCTTCCCCCTCCTCACCCCTGCCTCGTCCTACTACTGCCCTGCCTGGGCCAGCTCCTCGATGGAGACGTCCAGCCTGTCTGGCCAGGTTGCGCTGAAGCAGGCAACCAGCTTGCCGTTGACGACAAAAACCATATCCTGTAGGAGACGGAGGAGGAGGAAAGGGGGCGCTGCACAAGCAAGCACCAGGCAGGGCTGCACACGTCGAAACCCAAAAACATTGCCACCTCTGGAGGGTGCGATATTTTTTACTTCCGCCAGCCTTCCGTCGGCCGCACGCAACGAGTGAGCCTAGGCAAGAGTGACCCGCGGCTTTTGGGGGAGCGCGAGGTGGCCCAACCCATGCGCGCAGGAAGCCGCTACCGCTGCAACGTGCCACGATCGGGGAGTCCCCTTGGGCTCGGGCCAGTGGTAAATGGGGGGGGGGACCTCAATGGGGGGGCGAAGAAAAGGACCCTGAAGGGGGCCCTTCAGGGCCTCTTTTTGGGAGCCAGCAGGGGCCCAAAGGGGGGCCCTGAAGGGCCCCTTTAGGGCCCTGTTCATCACCCCCGCAGTCAGGTCATCCCCCATTATACCACCCGCCCGATGGGCCCGCACCAAATGTCACCCCAAGAGAAAGAACAAACGACACAAACAGAAACTTTCGACGGTCCGCGCGGATTTCTTCGATCCGCGCTGGACTCCCCTCCCTGGCGCGCGCCGCCTGGGGAGCCCAGGCGCCGATCCAAGAAGTCCGCGCGGAGCGCCAACACTTTATGTTTGCGGCGTGCTTCATCTTCGAACTCCGGCGGAAGGTCACTCCAATGCCAAATGGTCCCGATGGGCCCGCACCAACAGGCGGCGAGCCGGGGGGGAAGTGAGAAGGGGCGCGCCTCCTCAGGAGGCTCGAAAGTCCTCCGGCCTTCTGAGGAATTTCCTAAACCTCCCCCGAATGCGCAGAAAAATCCTCAGCGGGCGCGAGGGCTTCCGAGAAGTCCCGCCGCCTTCTGAGAAGGCCTTCTCCTTCTCACTTCCCCTCTCGTTGAGCAGGGACCGACCGTCCTGGCATTCCTATAAGCTTACCACCATATTCTTAGAACCCAAAAATGTTTGAATCACAAAAACAATGTTCTTCGAAAACAAACCAATGTTCGAATTAGACCTCGCCATCCCTGGGAGGGCTGCGATTTTCGAAACTGTCGCCACTTTCGAGGGCTAATGGGGGGGACAGCATAGTGGGTAGCGTCGCAAACCCGAACTAGACCTCGCCATCCCTGAGGGGGGCTGCGATTTACGAAACTGACGCCACTTTCGAGGGCTGCTTGGGGGGGACAGCACACCGGGTAGCAGGTAGCCGCCGCAGACCCAAAATAGACCTCGCCATCCCTGGGGGGGCTGCGATTTTCGAAATTGTCGCCACTTTCGAGGGCTGCTGGTGGGACAGCATAGTGGGTAGCCGCCGCAGACCCAAATTAGATCTCGCCATCCCTGGGGGGGGCTGCGATTTTCGAAATTGTCGCCACTTTCGAGGGCTGCTGGGGGTGGGGGTGACAGCATAGTGTGTAGCCGCCGCAAGTCCAACTTAGACGTCGCCATCCCGGGGGGCTGCGATTTACGAAACTGTCGCCACTTTCGAGGGCTGCTCGGGAGGCCAAGATCGTGGGTGGTAGCCGCCGCATATCCACATTAGACCTCGCCATGTCTGGGGGGGCTGCGATCTGCGAAACCGTCGCCACTTTCGAGGGCTGCGGGGGGGGGAGGCGCATAGTGGGTAGCCGACGCAGATCCAAATCAGACCTCGACATCCCTGGGGGCGATTTGCGAAACTGTCGCCACTTTAGAGGGCTGCTTGGGGGGCCAGCATAGTGGGTAGCCGCCCCAGGTCCAAATTAGACCTCGCCGTCCCTGGGGGGCTGCGACTTGCGAAACTGTCGACCCTTTCGAGGGCTGCTTGGGGGGGCAGCAGCCGGGCAGCGTAGCGATCTGCGAAACTGTCACCACTTTCGAGGGCTGCTGGTGGGTCCAGCGGAGTGAGGCACCGCGCAGATCTGAACGAGACCTCGCCGTCCCTGGGGGGGCTGCGATCTGCGAAACTGTCGCTACTTTCGAAGGCTGGTGGCGAGTCCAGCGGAATGAGGTACCACGCAGAGCTGAGCGGGACCTCGCCGTCCTTGGGGGGCTGCAATCTGCGAAACCGTCGTTACTTTCGAAGGCTGGTGGCGAGTCCAGCGGAGTGAGGCACCACGCAGATCTGAGTGGGACCTCGCAATCCCTGGGGGGCTGCGAGCCTCACGAATTCCGCTCGCAGAAATACATGCGCCCATGTCACGTCATCACCTCCGTATAGCGTCTCCCAGGTTACTCATGCCCCGCATTGCGCAGGGGTTGGGTACGTCGCCAGGGATACTCCTTCTTCGACTTCAGAAGCATGAAACCCTCTGGCGGCCCAAACCGAAGAGCACTCGAGGGTGCCCCCTCCCAGGATGCACACGAACATCCAGCAGCCACGAAGAACATTAGGGTACCCTCCCCGAGCCGACCTCGATCTTGCACCTCGGTCCGACTGCACACATCTACGCCACGGGCTCCCCCCCGGAGTCCTCCACGAGCTGCCCAGCCTCTCCCACCAGGTCGTCGGCGGAGCAGTGCACGAGCATGTGCGCCTGGGCGATCTCCGCCACGAAGGAGTGGATCGCCCCCCGGAAGAGCGGGAAGCGCCCGATCGTGCCGTTCAGGATCGCGAAGGAGAACGTGCGCTGGAGATCGGTCGGTGCTTTTCGGCGGTGGCCCGGAATATCTGATGGGGGGAAGAGCCGGCCCTTTCCGATGCACCCCCTTAAGACCTGCGCAACCGACAAGGTCACGTTATCCGGGGATGAAGGCAATTCCATGCCATTCCAGGGCGATTCCATGCCAACTCCTGAAGGTGTCTTGCATATCGGCGAGGAAGGGGCCATCGGGGGTCGATGCACTCCCCCTTGGCGGCGCGCACAAAGGGGGGCAGGGAGCGGGGGGGAGGCCTCCTAGAAGGAGGCTGCTTCTTAGAAGGCGCGCCTAAGCCCTTCGGAGACACCCTCCGCCCCCTATCGTTGCCCCCGAACCGGGGGCGGCGGGGGTGCAAAAAGGGGGGGGGGGGGGGGGGGCGTGGGGGGGGGAACGGGTGCGCCTTCCTGGCCTCTCGCGCGCGCGGGAGGGGCGGGAGGCCCCCCCTCGGAGGCGGCGGCGTCGGCGCGCTGGGGGGGGGGGGCACCCACCGCCGCCCGACCGCGGAGCCCACCGCCCGGGGCGCGGCTGGCCGCTCTGAGGATGCGGTTAGGTCGGGCATGTCCCCCGACAGGCGGATTTTGGACGACAAATAAAAAAAGTACCCCAAAAATGCCCCCAAATGGTCAACAACTAATCGAAGAATCGTCTCCAGACTATTTTTAAACCATTTGGGGATATTCCTCCTGTAGAGGGACAGGCCCGACTTAAATATACGGTCGGGAGCTTAATGGGCCCTGGAAACGGCCGGGCTGGTTTTGCACCGTTTCCGAAAAAGTGTCTCTTGAACATGGGAGCGGCAAAACAACGGCGACCAAACACGGCAAAACAATGGGCCGGAACCGAAACTGGAAACAAAAACGACGGAACCGACAAAAAAAAAGCGTCGGAACCGGCAAAGAAACGGCAAACGGAACCGGTCACAAAAACGACCCTGCCGTTTCCAGGGCCCACCAAGGTGAGGAAATCTCTGGGCGCGAATTAAATGGGGGGCGATACAGGAGGGGGGGGAGACAGGTGCCCTGGTCGGGCTGGTAAGGCCCCCTCTTGGGCCCAAAGGGGCCCCTTCAGGTGCCCTAAAGGACCCCTTTTCGGCAGTCCTCGCTGACCCCCCAGCCATCGCCCCTCCATTACGCGCCGCCCGAACTCTTGGATAGCGTGTCGCTCCGGCCAGCAGGAATGGGCGGGTCAGATATAAGACGGACCCAGGACAAAGACACAATCGGGCAATGATGAATCGAGAATCTCTGAGAGCGGGGGCCGCGGCCTTCTCAGAGCTTTCTGGAACGCTCTGAGAGCGTTCCAGTAGCTCTGGAACGGACTTGTCCTCGTCCTAGTCCCAGCCGTCCGACAAGGTCTTTCCAGGCCCCCCCTGGAAAGGACGCAGAGACGTCTGGGGAAGGGGGAGGAGGAGGAGGAGGAGGAGGAGGAAGAGGAGGAGGAGGAGAAGGAGGAGGAGGAGAAGGAGGAGGAGCAGGAGGGGGAGGAGGAGGAGAGGAGGAGGAGCAGGAGGAGGAGGAGGAGGAGGAGGAGGAGGGAGGAGGAGGAGGAGGAGGAGGGCGAGGAGGGCGAGGATGACGAGGAGGACCCCCCGACAAGGCAGTCTCCTGGAGCACGGGCGAGAGGCGCGCGAAGAGCTCGGGATCGAGCGGCGAGCTGGTGACCTCGCTGCGGAGCGCCTGCCGCAGGCTGCGCTCCACCCGGCGCTGCAGGCCCAGCGGGACGCGGTGGCGCCGCATGAACTGCGACATCGTGGCCACGGCGCTCTCCACCGTCTCGTGAGCGTTTTCGTCTTCGGCGCTGCGGCATTGGTCGGAAGGGAAAGGGGGGGGGAGGGGGGGGGGTCTTGCCCCGGGCCTCTGCGTACTGCGGCCGTCTGCAACAGTGCGTTCTAGGGGGGAGGGGCTCCACCTGCTCGAAGCAGGCGCCAAGAGCAGCCGAGATCCAATCCAGGGGGTGGTGGGGGGGGGGGAGGAGGAGTTTTTGGGGGCCCGCGCCGATCGGCAAAAGAGCGAATCAAAAAACGCTCACCTCGTCGAAGAGCTTGTTCATCACGTGCGTGAGCCCCGCCACCACGCTCCCGAAGAAGATGGGGCCCAAAAACATCACGAATATGGCGAACATCCTTGCCAGGGTGTTGTACGGATAAATGTCACCGTAGCCCACGGTGCTTAGGGTCATGATCATCCAGTACATGTCGCTCACGTACAGGTGCCACCAGTCGCTGCCCTCGCAATACAAGTCCAGGCTGTGTTGGCTGATTCCATGGACGATGCGCGACTCGACATCGCACTGCACCAATCGCCAGAAACAAGCCATGCTGTGCGACAGCAGCAGAATCAGGAGTCCCCACTTCATAGGTGTCAGATAGTGGGTCTGGTACTCCTTCTGGAAGAGGGAGATCAGCGGTGCCAGCCTCGGCGTCCGAGACAGCTTCAGCAGCATGCACGCGCTGTAGGCTGCCGTGCCTTCGGGCGCGAGGAACGCTGGCCACGCGGAGAGCAAGTCCAGGAACAGCCACGTGCGTGCGTAGTGCGCCGCGATCTGCCAGGCGTCCACGACCACGGACCCCTTTTTATCATAGATTGCGCTGCGGAACCCGATCAAGATGAACACCAGCCACAGGGTGTCCGCGGCGTGCATGGGAATCAGCCAGCTCGGAGAGACTGCACCGCTCCGAAAGTAAGCGACCACGATCGGGCTCAGCAGCCCCGTGTACACGACGGATACGATGAGCAGGGCGGCCAGAACGTTGTGCACCAGGCTGTGGGCCGGAAGCATAAATCGAGGCAGCACTACCTGGACAGGGTGGGGAGTGGGGAGAGGCAGGGGAGGCAGGGGAGGGAGGGAGGGAGGGAGAGGGAGTGGGGAGGGCAGGGGAGGGAGGGAGGTGAGAGAGGGAGGGTAGAGAAAGGAGGGAGTGAGGGGAGGGAGGGAGGGGGGGGGAGAGGGATGGAGGGAGGGAGTGAGGGCAGCGAGGGAGGGGAGGGGAGAAAGGGAGGGAGGAGGGGAGTGTGGGGGGGGGGGGGAAGGGGAAGGGGGGGGAGAGGGGGGAGGGAGGGAGGGAGGGAGGCAGAGCCCCTCAGCCCCGGCCTGGTCGGGACCCCCTGCCCTCCCAGCCTGAGCAGAACCCAGACCCAGACCCCTGACGAAGTCGAAGTCAAAGTACGGTGAGGGCCTGGGATACGGAACCGATGGACAAGGAACCCAGGGTCTCGAAGCCAGTGGGACTTCGATCGTGGACTGGCCATGGATATCACCGCCGCCCTCATCAGGTAAGGACCCCCCCAGGGTCTGAGGCCAACATTCCTTAACCAACGCCCTCACCGTACCGCCGCCCTCATCAGGTAAGGAACCCCCCCAGGGTCTGAAGCCTCCTGGGCACATTCCTGAACCAACGCCCCCACCATACGCCTTGCACCAGAAGGTGCGTGAGCAGTGGTGAAAAAGCAACTGCGAGTTCTGTACTCTTCTCGGCTTGTTCGTGTCATCCTGGCGCAGGGGCCATGAGAATCCTCTCTGCACCGTTCCAACTTCAACGGATGATCCCCGAAGGGAATCCGGAGGTCGACCCCCCAGATGTCTCGACCCATTCCCAGACCCCCGACGTTTTTTGGGGTTCAACCGAAAATCAAATTGCCAACGCTTGTCAGGAGCAGGAACGGGGAATGGCGGTGCGCCGAAAGAGCCCTACGCGACGCCGCGCTGATACCGGTCAGGCTGTGCTTGCCCGGGGAGGAGGAGGAGGAGGAGGAGGAGGAGGAGGAGGAGGAGGAGGAGGAGGAGGAGGAGGAGGGGAGAGAGGCAGGCAGACGACGACGAACGCGCAGGCTGGGGGCGGGGACCGGGACGACGACGAACGCGCCCGACATCATGTGTCTTGTCATGCCGTCGACCCCCAAAGGTCTCGACCCACTCTCCGGGACCGGCTTGCCATCCCGAGTCGTGTTCTGCTGGTCCCGGGGCACGGTACGGGCCCTGGGGAGGCCGGACATGGAGAAAAACTGTGCGTCGTGATTCTCGGTGCCGACGCGGCCAGATCGGTGCTGGCCTCTGTGAGTTTTCCGATGCGAGCGCAGGCAGGGGCCACTCGAGGGTTCTCGCCTGCCAGCCCACGCGTCCTTCAGGATGCTCGGCCATCTTGCGTGCTTGCGTGACTTCCTCATGACTCGAGGGGGTGGCCAGCCGTGGCGGAGCCAGGAATCGTGGGAATCCAGAGACACGTGGGAATCCAGGGACTCTTGGGGAATCCAGAGGCACGTTGGAATCGTGGGAATCCAGAAACTCTTAGGGAATCCAGAGACTCTCCTCCTCATGACTCGTGGGAACCCAGAGGCACGTTCAGCCGTGGCGACGAGCCCACAGAGCGCCCCCCGGGCCCTCCGGGGGCCCTCTGCAGGGCGCCCCTGGCGCCCAGAGCCTTCCAAGCGCGCTCGCGGGACCTGCCAGGGGCGCTCTCAGGGCCCTCCTGGGGGCGCTCGCAAGGGTCAAGACGGGGCCAGGGCGAGGATAAATTCAGGTGAGGATGCGTCGAGGATCTCTGAGATCCGGCGGCTCTGGAGAATGCATCGGGCGTCGTGGCCTTCTCAGAGCGTTCCCAGAACGCTCTGAGAGCGTTTCGGGAAGCTCTGGGACTGATCTATCCTCGTCCTAGCCCCAGCCGTCCGACAAGATTCTCCAAGGCCCCCTCTCGAAAGGACGCAGAGACGTCTGGGGAAGGGGGAGCAGGAGGAGGAGGAGGAGGAGGAGGAGGAGGAGGAGGAGGAGGAGGAGGAGCAGGAGGAAGAGGAGGAGGAGGAGGAGAAGGGAGGAGGAGAGGAGGGAGGAGAGGAGGAGGAGGAGGAGGGAAGGAGGAGAATCATGATGAGGAGGAGCGGTGAGGGAGCGATTCCAGGAGAGAGGGAGGGGGGAGGGAGGGAGGAAGAGGGGAGAAGGGAGGGGAAGGAGAAGGGGGAGGAGGAGAGGAGGAGGAGGAGGAGGAGGAGGAGGAGGAGGAGGAGGAGGAGGAGGAGGAGGAGGCCCCCCGAAAGAGAGTGCCGAACAGCAGCTCTCGCTGGCGGCGCCTCGTCCTCCAGAAGAGTGTTGCCCGCGCCGAGAGTCGCCGCCCGGGCGATCCACTCCGCCCTGCCCTCCAGCACCTGGTTCACCTGTGGGGCCCTAGCTGCGCCCGCTCTGGCTCCGTGCTCCACTGCCTCCCAGGGAGGGAGACGAAGAGAGGGAAGGAGGAGGAGGAGGAGGAGGAGGAGGAGGAGGAGGAGAGGAGGAGGGGAGGAGGAGGAGGAGGAGGAGGAGGAGGACGAGAAGAAGGAGGAGGTGGAGGAGGAGGAGGAGGAGGAGGAGGAGGGGGAGGAGGAGGAGGAGGAGGAGGAGAGAGGAGGGGGAGGAGGAGGAGGAGGAGGAGGAGGAGGAGGAGGATCCGCGCGCATCGAGGGGGCGGGCTGACGGCCGCCTCCCGAACCGCGGGGGCCCGCCCTCCACCTCGGGCAAGGCCCCCGACCGTGATGTAGGCGACGGCGGACTCATCCTTGCCGACGATGCCCATCACCAGGTGGCTCCACCACCTCTAGGTTGACGGTGTACTCCAGCCCGCTGCCGTCGCCGCCGCCGAAGGCCGCGACGTACGCGAGGTCGTCGACGAAGTGCGTCACCACGCCGAAGAGGCCGTCGCGCCCCGCGCACCAGAGCCGCCCTCCCGGAGCAGCGCGCACGCGCACCCGGGATCCGACCACCGCCACCTCCGCCGGGCGAGCCGCCACCAGAGCCGCTCCCGCACCGCCAGCCGCCGCAGCCGCAGGCACCGCAGGAGCCGCCGCCCCGCCAGCCGCAGCCGCCCCCTTGGTCGCGGCGGCCTTCGGCACCACTGCCGAGCCGCCCGCGCCGTCGGCCCACTCGTCGGACTCGAGGTCCGACATGGGCTCCACGCCGTCGCCGCCGTCGGCGCGCGCAGCCACACGCCGCGCTGCGAGGCGCTGGCGGCGGCGGCGCCGCCGCGCCAGCTTGGCCTCCGAGACGACGGGCGAGTTATTCTTCACGACCTCGGCGCCCGCATCGCCAGCCGCCGACACGGGCGGCGCGGCCACCGCGGCCGACGCCGCGGCAGCCACCGCCGCACGGGCGACAGCGGCGATGGTGCGCCGCGGCGCGTGGCCGTCCACGGCGGCGCGGACGGCGGCGGCGACGAGCGCCGCGCCGTCGAGCGTCGGGAGGGCCCCTCTAGCCCGCGCAGCCCGCGCATCAGCCATCGCGAGGGACGGCGGCGCGGCGGGCGCGGCGGGCATGCAACCGCTTGAGCCAAAATGGCTTGAGCCAAAATGGCTTGAGCCAAAATGGCTTGAGCCAAAATGGCTACGGAGGAGGAGGAGGAGGGGGGTGGGGAGGTGGGCGAGCGAGCCAGCGAGCGAACCAGCGAGCGACGGCGTCTCGAGAGGTCGAAGGGGGTTACCCAGCCACGAAAGAGATGGCTAGGCCAGCCCCGCGTGGCCTGCTTCCTGGGAGGACAAAAGAGGAGGACGAAGAGGAGGAGGAGGAGGAGGAGGAGGAGGAGGAGGAGGAGCAGGAGGAGGAGGAGGAGGAGGAGCAGGAGGAGGAGGAGGAGGAGGAGAAGAGGGGACTGACTCTCTGGAGACTCTTTCTGATCGCGTGGCGATAAGAATACTCCAGTGCGCCAGCACCTACTGCGGTGCTGTGGCATGCTTACTTCTCTGGACGGTCTCAGCCTGGCTGAGCACCTTTGGTCAGAGCCCCGAAGCGATACGTCTATGCTACTCGCGCCCAGTGGCGGTACGTGTGTCACATGTAACGGCCAGCTTCGCACCCAGCGCAACACCAAGTTTCCAGCCCGGCGTGGGACCGTATCTGATGGGCTAAGTGAGCCCCCGCCCCCGCTACATGGACCTGCTTACCCAAGGATGGTCTCGTATAAGTGTCATCTGCAGTTACAAGGTCATCACACACACACACGCACTACGGTACCATCCAGCACTTATCGCTGCAGTTGAGGAGCCTCTTCAAGCCAGACGCTTTCGACCACCGCCATCGAGTGGGTGGGCGGAGGCGAAAACAGCACAGAGGGGTGGGGCGGGGTCACGGACGGGTCTCTCGACGGCCCGTCGGGGCCCAGTTCCCGACCTGCACGCTTGGATTCGAATGCGCGCTCGAACACCAGGGCCTCCTTGGTGGACCAGAGGAGCCTCATCCGGTTCAAAAACCACGGTGCTCCACAGCCTGAACGTTTCGTCTCGAAGGATTGCAACAAAAACCGAAGGATTGCAACAAAAACCAAAAACCAAAAAAAAAAAAAAAAAAACGAAGGATTGCAACAAAAACCGCGAAAGCGGCTGCCGCGAAAGCGGCCGGACCAGCTGCAGCTGCGCCCCCACGCGCGAGAGAACGCACAGAGCGACCTTGCAGCACGTCGTGCTCGGCCCCGGTGCGACCCGAAGCGGCGGCCGACCTCGCTCCAAGGGTCGGCGTCGGGCCCCCTCGGGCCGTCTGTTGGGCGCCCGAGTTATCCGGGGTAACTCGGGTCCGGGGTAAGTCGGGTTTGGATTCCCGAAAAACGAACCCGAGTTATCCCTGACCCGAGTTAACCCTGATGATTCGGGGCTCTGGACGCCCGAAATATCCGGGGTAACTCGGGTCCGG